CCCCCCCCCCCGCTGCTGCTGCTGCTGCTGCTGCTGCTGCTCTGGGCTGGATCTTGATGTCGAGAGTCTGCAGCAGCGGCATTTGCTGACAGAGCTGCTGCACCTCCGCGTTGGTGAGGCCCCTGCGAGTGGCCAGGGTCACTTCCTTAAGGGCGGGGCAGACGCAGCCAAGAAAGGCCCCCAGCTCGGGGCCCTGGCCAGGCACCTCCAGCCGCAAACGCCTGCGCAGCAGCAGCAGCAGCAGCAGCAGCGGTGCAGCAGCAGCAGCAGCAGCAGCAGCAGCAGCAGCAGCGGTGCAGCAGCAGCGACGCGGCAGCAGCAGCAGCAGCGGTGCAGCAGCAGCGACGCAGCAGAGAAGCAGTGGCAGCAGGGAAGCAGCAGGGAAGCAGCAGTGGCAGGGAAGCAATAGGCAAGCAGCAGCAGCGCAGCAGCAGAGAAGCAGAAGTAGCGGGAGAGCAGCAGAGAAGCAGCAGCAGCGCAGCAGCAGCAGCAGAGAAGCACCAGTAGCAAAACAGCAGCAGAGAAGCAGCAGCAGCAGCGGCAGCAGAGAAGCAGCAGTAGCAGGGAATCAGCAGAAAAGCAGCAGCAGCAGCAGCAGCAGCAGAGAAGCCGCAGGTGCACAGCAGCAGCAGCTGCTGCAGCTAGCTCGGGCCCAGAAAGGGAGTCTTAAGGCTAGGGTTTAGCCGAGGGTTTAGGCGAGGGTTTAGGCGAGGGTTTAGGGTTTTGTGGGGCCTTACTGGAGGTGCGGCAGCCGCTGCAGCAGCAGCAGCGGCTGCAGCAGCAGCGCCTCAGGTGTGGGGCCCCCGGCGCGCTGCCCGCGGCGAGTTAGGGGCCTCGCGGGGGCCCCTGCTGCTGCTGCTGCTGCGGCTTCCCCTGCTGCTGCTGCTGCTGCTGCTGCTGCGGGATCGCTGGGATCGTCGATCCCAGGACTTCTCCGGGAATCTGCTGCTGCTCTTCTCTTTGCTTTGTTAATACAAAAGTCATTTAATCTTTTCCAGAAGCAGCAGCAGCCCAGGGCCTCCCCCACGCCCTCCCGCCAGCCCGAACACTGCGCCACACAGCCGCAAACCCTAAACCCTAAACCCTAAACCCTAAACCCTCGCCGCAACTCCAAACCCTCAACGCCTGCAGCTCTAAACCCTCAGCGCCACAAAGGCCCCTAGCAACTGGCGCATGCAGCCCCAAACCCCAAACCCAAATATATATATATTTAAACAAATTTAAATAAATATATATTTATATATATAAATATATATAATCTATATATGTATATCTTGCTGCAGCTTGATGGGGGCCCCTGAAGAAGGGAACCTCAGCAGCCACGGGGGCCCCCAAAGGCTTTTCTGGGCAGCAGAGGCCCTGGGGGCCCCAGGCCCCAAAGACCCCAGCAGCTGGGGGGCCCCCCGGGATGGGGGGCCCCCGAGACGGGCCCCCAAGTATACTCTAATGCTGGGCTAGCTAGGTCCCCGAGGGAAAGAGAAGGCAGCAGCGTCGGGGGCCCCTTGCTGCTGTGGCTGAGGCGTGGCTGGCGGCAGCAGAGGCTGCTGCTGGCCGAGGGTCCCGGCTCGCTGCTGCTGCTGCTGCTGCTGCTGCTGCTGCTGCTAAAATATATCTTTTAAAAACTCACAGTAGCAGCAAAAGAGAGAAGAGATGAAGTGTCGCCCAAGAAGGCGCAGATCTCGCCAACAAGGCCGATGTGCAGCCCGGCCCAGTCGGCGGTCGCCATTGAGTCGAGCCCTCCTCTCTAAACCCTGAGCCCTAAACCCTAAACCCTAAACCCTAAACCCTAGTCTTGACTTTTCTTCAATTAGATTGTCATTGATGGCTCAAGAAGCAACCAGTTGCAGCAGAAGACAGCGAGCGCAGCAGGGCCCCAGAAGGCTCGGCAGCAGCAGCTGCAGCAGCGCTAGCCGTGCTCAACCTCAGGGGTCTAAACTCTCAGCAGCAGCAAATAATTTGAAACCCCGAACTTCAAAATATTATTTTTAAATTCAATTTTGAACTTTTTCTTCCACTTTTGACTGTTCTGTTTAGTCATTTTGCCCTCGCCTTCGCGGCGCCGCCTGGCGCCTCTCACAGGGGCCCCTTGGGGGCCCCTTGGGGGCCCCTTGGGGGCCCCTTGGGGGCCCCAAGGGGCCCCAAGGGGCCCCTGAAATGTGTCAGCGGGGGCTTCAGAGGGTCTCAGGACCCTCTGTAGCCTCTCATATCTTTGCTGCTGCTCCAGCATACTCGTATGTTCATTTTAGTGCAAAGACGGCCGATAACTAGGCTGTTTTCGGCGCAGCAAGCTGCAGCAGCAGCAACAGCAGCAGCAGCAACAGCAGCATGAGCAGCAAGAAGACGCCTCTGCAGCTTCAGAGCGCACAAGAGCTACCCCGCGGGCTGTGCTGCAAGGCAGTGCTGCAGTGTCTGCAGCAGACATACCTGTGCTGCTGCAGCAGCAGCAGCAGCAGTAAAGTGCTGCTTCGGGGCAGCCGCGAGGCTTTTCTCTCCCGTGTAGCTGTCTGCCAGCGGGTTTGGTGCACTTCAGCTGCTGCCGCTGCTGCTGCTGCTGTTGCTGCAGCAGCTGCTGCTGGTGCAGCTAGTAAGCGCTGCTGCTGCTGCTGCTGCTGCTGCTCTTGCGCCGTCCTACGTGTTGCTCATGGGCAATAAAGAAGGGCTGGCTCCCCTAAACCCCAAACCCTAAACCCTAAACCCTCACAAGGGCTGTGGCTGCAGCGGCGCTGCTGAATGTAAAGATACCCCTAAGGCTTAAAAGAGTTATTCGAAATAGCTGCAGCTAGCTAATTCTGCAGCTAGCTAATTCTGCAGCTAGCTGATTCTGCAGCTAGCTAATTCCGCAGCTAGCTAATTCTGCAGCTAGCTAATGCTGCAGCTAGCCAATACTGCAGGTAGCTAATACTGCAGCCGGCTAGTACTGCAGCTAGCTGATTCCGCAGCTAGCTAATTCTGCAGCTAGC